TAAATTGATAAATATTTATTTGGCAATTTTTTAAAACTGTGGTTATTCACAAGTTTGTTGAGGAAATACTAAATGAAATCTTCTTTATATTTACTTCATTTGAATTGTTAAATAAATATTATTTATAAATAATAAAACATGAACTATTGTTTACTCTTTTTTAAAACAAATGTTTTTTTTGTGATATAACAAGTTGATAATAAATATTTAACTTGATTAAAAACTTTTTAGTAAATGTTTTATTTGAAAAATAATAATTATACAGTAAAACCTCTCAAGAGTGGGAGGGCGTGGTAATTTTGTTCTCTCAAGAGTTGGCATTTTAGCCAACCAAACCTTAAAACCCGCTCGATAGAGAACTTTATTTTTAGTTTCAGTCTAAAAAATGCTTGCTCTTGGGAGAACCTGCTCTTCAGAGGTACCGCTCTTAAGAGGTTTTACTGTATTTGGTGTATTATGAATAAATATGAACAAATAGAAACAATACAATATATTTAGACATTTAGGTATAAAAAGATACATTTTGAATTAAATTAAATCAGAAAACATTAAAAACAAAACATTATGTGAAGATGTGTTTTTATAAATAGTTTGTAAACATAGAATGTTTCATTTGATTTTTTAAGAATATTTTTGTTTCAAAATCAAAATACAAATTTGATTTCTTGGTATTTTGTCAGTTTGTTTTTTGAATTGTGTTTTGAGTGCATTGATATATTATCTGGTATTTGGTATAAATTAATGACAAACTAATTTATAGTTGTTTAAATGAAACTAATTCAACGACCACATTTTTTGTTTTTACAATACAAAAAACAAGTTTTTTCATATTTTTTGTGTTTCAAAAGTGATTTTCTAATTTGTTTTTATTTTTAAATTTATAAATAACCAAAAACAATTATTATATAAGTTAAACATAACCATTCAAAATTATTTTTGAAACAAAATTAAACAAAATGAAAAAAATGATTTGAACAATAAATCAAATTGTTCCAAAAATGGTTTCAAATGAAAAGTTTAATCCAATTTTGGTTTTTAAAAAATATAAAAAATTAAAAGTACAAATTCATTCAAATGCAAATTCTCTTATTTACTGCCTACTTAATGCTTTGCTCAAAAGCAATCGAAGATACAGAATGTTGCACACTCGACAATACTAAAATGTGTATCAAAGACAAAGAAAACGATTAAAACAAGAAGGAGCACTCACAATCAAAACATAATATATTCAACCATTATGTAAAGGCGCTTAATAGATAACCAAAAAATAACAAATATTGTGTATCTGCCAGCACAAAAAGTTGAGATTGGTGCAAAAGCATTCAAAGGTGCAACTAAATTGGCAACAGTCACAATAGCAAACAAAATCAAGTCTCTTGGCGATGAAGCGTTCAGTGGGTGTGTTGCTCTGACAAAAATTGATGTTACAGAACTCACAACAATTCCAGCAAAGTGTTTTGAGGGTTGCACTTCTCTGGCAACAGTCACTGGGTTTGAAGCAGTCACTTCATTTGGCGAGTCATCGTTCACAAAAACAGCAATGCCAACAATCACTTTTGGTAAGGCGGTGACCGAGTTTGGAAATATGGCTTTCAAAGGAGTTACAGTTGTTACAGATATTGCAATTCCAACAGTCACTTCATTTGGAACAAATGTTTTTGATGGAATCACAACTCTGAAACACGCCGATTTGTCTGAAAATACAATGATTCCTGAGGGTACTTTTTCAGGATGCACTATGTTGAATAACGTTTCAAGAACACAGAAAGTTGCAACAGTTGGAAAAGACGCGTTCAAAGATTGTGCCAAACTTGAAAACCTCAATTTGTATGCGCCACTCACAACATTATCAGACACACTGACAAATGTGATAAACTTGTTTTTCCATGGTACTGCGGCACCAGCAACTCTCCCAAATGATTTGAACAGCAAACTGAATGTGTATGTCACTGAAAACTACACAGCCTCTGTGTTTGGAAAGTTGACTGTTCTCAAGGCGAAATGCACAAACTCTGAGTGTGTTGATGTCACTCCTGGTGTTGCACCAGCTGCAAAAATGGCAGGAGAAGTCACACCAAAGTGCAAAGCATGCCCAAACAATTTCTTGAGTGTTGATGGAAATAACTATTACTGCGAGTATGATATGGCGGTTTGTTTGTCCAAGCATCCCAATTGCAAAGTGTGTGCTGTTGATAAATGCTACCAATGCAAGGATGATAAATACTTGAAGGAAGACCTCTTTGAGTGTTTTGATGCAAGTGATGATAAGTATTATAGCGATGATTCAACCACAACTTCACATAAATGCAAGAAGTGTTTCCCAGAATGCCAGAATTGCACCGATGGAATTAAATGCACTTCTTGTCCTAACAACGCACTGCTTCTTGAAGACACTGGAAAATGTGTTACAGCCACTGAATGCCCATCTGGATACTACAAAGATAAAACAGCAGCAGCAACATGTAAGAAGTGCAAAACTGGAAGCAATTGTCTGACTTGTGAATCTGACACAAAGTGTTTGTCTTGTATTGATGGATTCTATTTGGCAGATGAAGGAAAATGTTCTGCGTGTAACACAATTGCTGGGTGTGGGAAATGCAAGTCAGCCACCGAGTGCACTGAATGTACAACTGACAATCTCCAACCAGACAAAACTTGCAAAAAGAACTGCCCAGAAGCGTACTTTGCAAAGGATAAGGTGTGCACTGCATGTGTTGATGATTGCAAGACGTGCACCGAAGAAACCAAGTGCACTATTTGCAAAGAAGATGCTCTGATTGTTGAAGACACCAAAAAGTGTGTGAAAGGCAACTGTCCAGATATGTATTTCAAAGATAATGCTGAGAAGATGTGCAAGAGGTGCACTGATGGTGCAAA